GCTTTACGAGCTTCCTTGGAATCAGCCATGTGTCCATCTGCCTCCCAGCCTGAGCCCCAGCTCACCCCTGCGCCCGGAACCCTGTCCCTGCCTCACGCTCCAGATACCACACAGGTAAAACTAACCTAGAGTCACCTGCTCAAGTGAAGGGTTTTTCCTTCTGCCTTAATTAAAGAAGAATCAGAGCCATGATCTGCCATGTTCACATTACTAGTCAGATACACTTACTGGGATTTTCTTTTCTTCATTTTAAAAGAAATAAGGTTTTTATTCTACACCCTTACATAAGTGTCACACAAAGAGGAACAGCAAGTCAAAAAATTAATAGTTTTTGAAGCAGTGATGAAGTAGAGAGACTTGAACAATTAACAATTACATCTCTGAGGCGGAAGAAATAAGGTGCTCACCAATTCTAACAATAATACATTTATATATTTTTAAGGCTTCTTGGTAAAAGGTGGTAGCCACTTCTACAGAATTCAGGAGTTTCATTTTTAAAAAATAAATACTTCTACACTGGAAGATAAAATACTATCATAACAAGTACTGGTGGATCTCAGACACAAAGCACCACAGCTTCAAGCTCAGACATCATCAGTGAAGAGACTTGCACTCCTAGTTTCCAGAAGCAGAGAAATGTGTAAGTTCAAGACTTTTCAGCTGTTGAAGGGAGAGTAGGAAAAAGCTTTTACACTTCACTGGGACACCCAGCTTAAGCATGAAGGAGCTGCCTTAGCCAGAGAGTAACTCGAGAGAGCAAAAACTGATTTGGAAGCTGCAGAGTCCATGGTGAATGTTCACTCCAAAGGGAGGTGTGTGACTCCATTCACCATGTCCACTGAAAAGCCAGCAGGTTTTGGGTCACAACAGCTCCCCCACCGCAGAAAGCCCAGGTGGAGCCATGCTGAGCCCTCCCTGTGTCACACTCCCCCAGCACAGGGCAGCAGAGCAGGGCAGCCCCGCACTGGGGTGTCCTCTGCATCTGCAGCCTCCCACAAGATTTGCATTTGACATCTATCTCCCCATTGTTCAGACATCTTTATCTCAGCTTTCAGGAAACGCAGATGACTCATCTATCGGAACATCTGACGAGGCTAACGTAATTTCAAAATGAGTTCTCCTTAGGCTTATTTTTCCAAGCAAAAAAAAAATAAAAATGAAGAAAATGTTTCAAAATTACACTAAAAATCAAATTTCTGTTGCAAACCAGCTTCCTGATTTAGGAACTCGAGTGCTTATTTTTGCTGTAGACAGTCTAATAGGCTTTTAGGCATCCAAATTTAGGGAAAAAATCCTACGGCATTTAAACAAGGCAGAGTCAGAGCTGGAGCTGACTCAGCCGCTCCAGCGCACAATTTGAATACACTACATAATCATTCTTGGTTTAAAATTATCCTCCTAATATCTAAGGGCCAGATTACCCCACACAAGTTCATCTTGATTTGTGCACTCCCCTAGGCCAGCCTTGCAGGTTTCATCAGCACTAATTAGGCAGCAGGACAACATCCCGCTGGGGCTGTCCCGGCCCTGACCTCCTCCTGCAGCACCTCGGAGGCTCCAGCCACAGGCCTGGCTGCCTCCTCCTCCCCACACTCCCAATTAACACACACCAGCAGCTGCTTGTTCCCCCTCACAGGTAAGAAGGAGCTGCCAGGTATGCCAGCAGGACGTGTTGTTTCCCAACAAGTGACAGTGTCCAGAGCCCAAGGTTGCAGTGCCGGCGCTCCTCACACAGTGTGGGGCAGAACCCCGGGAGTCAACACCCCTCTCCCTGCTGAGCTCGATGCAGAGTTTGTGCATTCACTTCACAGGGAGGGGGAGAAATAACGAAAAAAGAAAAAGAAGTGCCTTACCCAAACCTAAAGTTCCACTTTGGCACCTATTTTTGCCTCCTCCAGGCAGGGCAGGGCACGGCAGTGGCGTTTGCCCGCGGTGGCTGCGTGCTCCATGCGCTCCGTCCCCTCCGTCCCCCGCTCTGTGCCCACAGAGGACATCTGGGCAGAGGCCAGAGGTGAAGGGCACTGCCACTGCACAGGGTCCCCTCCCAGTATCTGCTGTGTCTGTTTACGTTCTAAATATAGCAGAGCACATGGGCCATCTCCAGCTCCAGAGAAGTCCTGCTCCAGGGGCTGCAGCTCTGCAGCGCTCACACCTGCCTGACGTCAGCTCTCACACAGCACACTCACACCAGATCTTGGGAGTGATACCAGTGACAGAACACAGCATCACAGACTGGTTTGGGCTGGAAGGGCCCTTAAAGGCCATATCATTGCAGCCCCCTGCCAAGATGCATTCTTAGTTTGTGAAAAAAATAATTCAGTGGCTAAATACATGTTTACCTGCAAGAGTTAATGTAAGAATAGCTGTTTAACTAATACTAATATTATATACATTTAATAAGAAATCAAGTACTTTAACATTAATGTAAAATTTTCAGTGTACTGGTATTTTAGTAAAGAGTAGAGATATTACATATTGAATTATTGAAAAATTAAAAATTATTTTTAATGTCCTAATCAAAAATCTTTTTTTTCTCTGTGCTAAACTACTGACTGACCTTACAGGGTCTAGATGGAGCCGGTGCAGCATTTCCCTAAATTGTTTTTATAGAACATCTAAAGTTTGGGATATTGCAGACAAGGTAACACAGTGACTAGTGCTGTTCAGCTCAGCACACACCAAAACTGACCCAGAGCTGACACAAACCCAAAATTGAGCAATGTCTTCAGCAATGGGGACCGGGAATTCCCAGAAGGAAGATATTCCCTCTTCTGTTTACCCCAGGTATTCTTGTACATGATACAGCTCCTTAGCCACCCAGCCCAGCCCAGGGCAGCCACTGGCAGCCAGGGGTGCCAGGCCCACGCCGGGCCCCGCAGGCCCATCGGGAGCAGCTCCCCTGCCCCGCGCCCCGGCTGCGGCGAGGGGATGGCCCGAGCCCCCGGGAGCCTCTCCAGCACACAGCAGCTCTGCCACAGGCCAACCTTTCAGCAGGAGCACAAGTAAACAGCTCTGGTCAGCAGAGTATTTTTAAACAGCAGATTCCTTCCCAGCTCCCAGCTTGGTCCCTGCACTGACTCCCCGGGGCAGCAGCAGGCTCCTCTCCTCAGGATCTGCAGTAACGCTGTAAGCTAACTACAGCTATCACCCGCGGACCTTGCAGCGCTTGGCAAAGGTCATCGTTAGCTCCTGCATTAAAAAAGGAAGCAAAGAGCCCTGATGACGGCAGCAGAAGGGCCAGCCGTGCCACCGGGGCTGGGGAAGCCTGGCCAGCCTGGTTCATCCCCTCTCATACAGACACCAGCCCACACTGCCGCCCGGCTCCAGCACCGCCGGCCTCCCCAGCCAGCACCGAGGGAGATCTTAAGGCACTTCCAACAACGTCAGAAGTCTGAGCAGGGGATGCTGCCATGCAACAAACCTGGGTGATGCGTCCTACGGCAAAGGAGATTCATGTCCAGTTCACTCTGGTGGCTGGTTTCCACCCTTTGGCTGGATCCTCGCCCTGAGAAGCGCAAGGCCAGCAGGGTCAGGCCACTGTGGCCGGACATGTTGCTGGGAACCAGGGGACACTGCAGGTGCTGCTTCACCAGCAAACCCATCCTGGTGCTCTCAGTCCCTCACGCAGGGACAGGCTGGAGGCTCCAAGGCCAGGCCTGTGTTCTGGCAGCACTGAGGTGACACCGCGGGGCTGGGACTCCCCGCCAGCACCGGCTCCGCTCCTACCTCCCACACTTGTTTAATGCATAAAGACATCTTATTTCGACATTTTAAAATTAAAACCCCTGCATGCATTTTAATTACCGTAACTTTAAAACAAATTTCAACAACACAGAAACAAAACCATTTCCATTTCTGCAAGTTAAATCACGGCTGGGGGTGATGGGGTGGGTATTTCAGGCCCAAGAGCACTGTAAAGCTTTACCCTCTACCCCGATCTGAGACAAGACACGTTTTCAAGCTCGGGATGTTGCAGGATTGACACAAACCCACTGTAACCCACTTCCTGCCGGCTGCGCCGGGGCCTGGCTGTGCACGACCTGCAGTAGCTGCTACAGCTACAACTCCCTCCCCAAGCACGTCTCTGCCAGCAGCCAGCTCCACACACTCGCTCCACTTCCCGGGAGCTGGGCCCAGCAAGAGAAAATCACACTGGAGAAAAAACTGACAGACAGATCTCTGCTTCCTAACTTCTGATTTTTTCATGCCTCTACTGAATTAATTCTGTACTGTTTGTGGGATGAGTATTTTACATAGTTCATTTAATTCATGAAAAACTAAGTGAAGGCAATGGGACCCACACATTTGACGCCCATCACTGGAACTACAGCTACAGTGAAACAACAGTCATACATTTACAGCACCTAGCTTGGATATGTCTCCTGCAAACCCTCTCTGCTCCTGCCCTGCTTGCACATCCAGAGGCACCTTGCCTTCTGCTAAGTGCTGTCCCTCCCTTAAGCAAGTTGCATTTAGGAAAAAGATGGGATAACCACAGCAGTGCCAACCACAGAAAGGCAAGCAGGGTGCTCACGGACACCCAAATAACCCAGGGAGGAACACACTCTTCTAAGGTTCACCATCAGCTGTCCAGAGACACCAACGACCCGCTGGTAGTTACGAGATGGAAACAAATCCTCATATTGCTTACGTGGTTTGTGCTATTAAAAACAAAGAATCCTTACAGTGACTTTGCTGTTTCTACGTCAAGTGCCCTTTATTCCAGGTACAGGCAGGGAATAATTTGGAGGCAAAAAATGAGACCCTGTAGCCATACCAGAGGATTTCAGCCCTGCCAGGCGTATTTTCCCTTCATTCCCTCTATCCTTCCCCTGAGGAAAACAGCAAAACAAACCGACAGGCATCAATAAAATAAAAGCAGCAGAACAACCCACTGCTGGCAGCCAGCACGCGCTCCCGTTCGGCTGCAGGGCTCCTCTGGCTACAACTGCTTCTTTCATTAACTACATATCCTTGAAAATAATGTAACATTTACTCACTTTCAATGAGTCAAAGCAGGCGATTACACGTCCGTTCTCAACTTGGCAGCTTTTCGATGGGTGTGCAAATTTACATTCCGTGTCTGGTCTCGAGCAAGTCCCCCTTTGGAACTCCCTACACACTTCCAGCGTTAGCCATTTTGTGTCCCGGATCGGCGTGACACTAACAGCCATCTTTAGATTTTACAGGTAGTTAAAATTTCCAATAAAAACGAGGAGCTGAACTGATAAACTGGAAATGACGAAAGTGCCACCTCCAGAACACAGTTTTCCCCCGCTCCCTATGTTAAAATAAGTACGTGTAAAACTGGGTGGCTGCAATCCCGAGGACGAGCTGTGTCACCAGAGTTCGGGGAGCGAGCCCGCTCCTGGGCCGGGCAGGCCGGGACTGCCAGCCAGGTGCGCCTCCGGGAGCGTGGCCGGGACGAGCCCCGCGCTCAGCAGCCCATCCTGAGTGCGGGCGTGGGGCCGCGGCGGCTCTGGCAGCGCTTCCCGAGGGCTCCCGGGCCGGCGGCTGGCAGGTGCCTCCAGGCAGCGATGGCAGCGGGCTCTGCGGTGCGATCGGGATCGATTAGTTTGGCATAGACAGATGCAGCAGTTTAGAGCAACGACCGACACTGGCTTTGGGCTGGGGTTTTTCTCCTCCTCTCCGCGGCTGTCGGGCGGCAGAGCTCTGACCTTCGGGGCACACTTTAGTGCACAGTGCGGCGGCGGGGGGGCAGCGCCGGACCCTCCTCCCGGCGGCGCGGGGCTGGCAGCGGCGGAGCGCTGTCGTCGCAGTCTAGCTGGCAGCAAGCAAGGCAAAAGCAGCGGCTGCTCTAGAAGCGGTCCCAAGCAGCAGCGACGTCAGGAAAGGCACTTCTTAGTACCAACCTGTGGAGAGAGGAGACACGTTAGGGGCGGCGGGCGCCCCGCGAGCCGCGCCCCGCGCAGGGCAGTCCCGGCGGCGGGGCCGCGTCCCCGCGCGGGGCCGGCGGCCGCTCCGCCCGCGGCCAATCGCGGCGAGCCTTGCAGCGACACCGCGGGCAGGGAGCCAATGGCGGGGGCCGTCTTATGAAAGGTCGCGCCTGTCAGACGCCGGCCGCGCTGCCCCGAGCGCGCCCGCGGGGGGACGCGCGCGCGGCCCGGCGGGGCCGGTGCGGGGCCGGGAGCGGGGCCGGGAGCGGGGCCGGGAGCGGGGCCGGCACCGCCGGGGGCGCCCGCCCACCCTCGCAGCGCTCGGGCCCGGCGCCGCCCCCCCGCCCGCCGGAGCTCTCCGGGGGACGCGCGCGCGGCCCGGCGGTACCGGCGTGCGGAACGCGGGGGCGGCGCGGGAGCGGCCCCGGCCCCGCCCCGCCCGCGGCCCGGCCCGGCCCGGCCCTGGCCGCCGCACGGCCCTCGGGGCCCGACAGACTCGCCACACCGCTGACCGCCCGCTCGGACACGGACACCGGCACCGCGCTCCCGACACCCCGAGGGAACGCGCCGCCCGCCCGGCCCTGCCCCGGCTCCCCCGGCCACCGCGGAGAGGGCGAGCTGCGGCCCCGCGATGGACATCGGCCGCCGCAGAACCCCCGGGCGCGGGGCAGACCTTCCCCGCCGTGCCAGGGAAGATGCCCGGCTATGCCACAGAAGTGATAAGGGAAAAGCCCGGTGCCGCCTGCAAATACAGCTCTAAAATAGTCACCTGCGGCTCCTGTCCCCGCCTGAGGATCTCCGAGGAGCAGCCCAGAGAACGGAGCAGAGGGACCCTGGTGGCACGGCCCGGGACGTGCTGACGGACAACAACAACGGGAATTCTCTTGTCGGCACTGCAACCCCAACAGCATCCTCCTGCCTGCCTTTGGGGGAAGGTTGTTCCCGTCCCCGTCTTTCTAAAGACACTGCTTCATCATCTTCCTACTTCCCACCAGCCCCAGAGCAGGTCACTGCCACAGTCACCACGAACACACCCCGGGAAGCGATGCTGTCTGCATGGATGCAAACCAATGAGAAAAACCTACAAAGAGTCTTTTTTCCAGGGACCGAGTGATCAGAACAACCACAGGGGAAGGAAAGCACACCTAACAGAGCTAATGAGATTACAACAGGCACCGTGGGTTCCTTGCCAGGACACTTGTAATCATGCCACATTTTTAATCCCTGCTAGCAAGAGACAAACAATTGTGCATAATTACTTACAAGCACAAGTTAACAACTGTCTTCATGGTAAACACAGATACTCAATTGCTTCAACTGCCCAAAACTCCCAAGTCAGGGTCATCCTGTGCCAGTAGTCACCACTCATCGGTGCTTGGGATATTGAAGACTCAGGTCTTGAAAACTTATTCCCTAACAAGTGCCCCAGGCAAACGAGTTTGGCTCTCCCACCAGTGCCACGCTCCCAGCCATGACAGATTAGCACCAAGAGATCTGAAAGCCCAGAACACGCTGCTCTGCCCAGGGCCTCGTGCCAGCGGGTCCAGCAGGCCCACAGGGCACCCCACCTGCCCCGTGCAGGACTACCAGCACATCAGAGAGCTTTCGGGAGCCTGAACACATCCCCCAGCCTCCAGTCAAGGTGCACTGCAACTCCACAGGTGAGAGCTGGATCCACATCCCACCATCACTCCTGTGCTGAACAAAACAACTTCTGAGTGTTATTTTGTGACGAGTGTTTATTGCCTGTGAGACCCTCAGAACAGGGTGCTGCCAGGAAGAGCTCTACAACAAAGCTGTGGAACAGCTCTAAGCAGGGTTTTCTTCTGTTCATCACTTTGGTACCCAATCCATACCAAGCATTGATTTTTCCAAACACCAAGAAGAGTTAGAGCAGCAATTGATGTATTTTACATGCAGAAGCCAATGCAAGTTAAAGGCCACGCTTTCCAAACAAGACATTTAATTTCACTCTCATTACACAGGTAGTCACCCCTAACGAGGAATGAAAGAGAGCATAAAGGCAGCACACAAACTGAGAACAGATGACAACTACCTTTTGTGCTCACACGTACTCACAGGAGAAATATCCCTGGTAAAACTCCCCAAACCATGTTTCAGTCCTGGGTTTGTAATAAGTTCTCTGCTAGGAGCCGGACAGCCCTTGACTCAGAGGGAAATCCTGCTCCTGCTGAGCTCAGTGACATACCTGTGACTGCACTAACCCAAGCTGAATTTTCCTTTTTCAGGCTGCCAGCCACAAGAAGACAAGTATTACTCCCAGGAGCTGTAATGCCTCGAAGGTAAATCTTCAGAACGTGAAGAAATACTAAATGTATATTTTGTCTGCACAGTTACTTGAAGAAAAAGAGTTTTGTCAGAATTTGTTATCTACCTGAAAACAGCCAGAAATGTCAGCTTTAAAAATAGTCTTCGAGCAGAAATAAAGAAAAACTGTGGACCAGAGGTTTACCTTCAATATCTCCACTAAATAAAGGAAGATGTTAGCATGGAATTATAATTTTTTATCTCCAAAAACTATTTTCCCTCACTTTGAAATTCCCTTGTGGTATTCCAAGTCACTAAAGAGTCCCCAAGAAGCTTCAAATGCTACATGATACACTGTCTGCAAAACCCAGGTGACACATGGGATGTCTCCTCTGGGCTGTCTTTAATAAGCTGAGAAGGACTGCAGCAAATCCAGAGGGAGAACTGTAGGGACAGGCAGGAAAAGGATTGAGCTGAACTTTTTATTTTTTATTTCATTAAAACTGATTTAGGGGCAGAGTTTCTAGACCTCACCTAGTAGGCCAGTCAGTACTAAAGGCTTTTCTTAATCCACAGGTGGGTTTTGAAGTTCAACTTCTGAAATTTGGAAGGATTTGCTACTTGTTTTGGGAATGTTGCAACATTGGTTTGGCCAAAGCATGACCTTGACTTTACTGATTATTGGGAATACAAGGAAAATGAAGCTAAAAATGTTGAAAGCAAATTTTAAAAGTGATTCTCAGAAAAAACAGAAGAGAGAAATAACACGGAGAAGTCATTCCTTAGGAGGATAACAGAGATGACTCAGTTGTCTGCTGAGCTGGGTCAATGAAAATGATTAAGAAACAGCCTCACAAATCAATGGAAAGGTTATCTGGAAATGCCCAAGAAAGTAAAACTAACACAGAAGAGAGTCCTATTACTTCCCATTATTGCTATAAAGAAATGTTGTACAGCCAGGTTAATGATACATTTTTCCTCCTCGTTACAGTCTTTGACACAAAAATAAAGTGTCTCCCTGCGCTGGGAATTGTTCTTAAAGAGCCATTGTTTTCACTCTTCCTGTCACTGGGTTTGCTGGACATCACTGTTTTCTCTATCTCAATTCACACACGTCTCTCAAAAAAAGACGTATAAAGCTGGGCAGGCAAAAAGCCCAACACTGAAGGAGAAGATGGCAGGGAAGAATGCTATTTTTATGCTCAGAGAAAGTGGAAGCTGAAAACACCAATCTCAATGACATGAGAACTGTCAGCAAGAACAGATAATTACACAACGTGAATTCATCCTCATGACAATGACTCTAATGAGATAGGAAATGGAATAAAATCAATATTCTATTTACACTGACGGGGCAGTCCCAAAGCTTGAAATTGCCAAATGTCTGTCTTTTAAATCAAGGAACACAAAATTACTGACTGCCTTATAGTATTTTCAAAACACCTCTGCCAAACTCAAAGTTTACCAATAACATATCTCAACATAAAATTTGGAAGAGATACAGCAATTACTCCTCGGCACAACTGAGGGATATAATTATAGTGCTGTCACAAAATTAAGCTGAAACAATGAGCTAATGAACATCTTGGCCTTGTAACAGTATAGGACTGGGTAAAGAAAAATACTCTTTAGTAAACTACAGCTGAACAACCCAATTGTCTTGTACTGTAGCCCCACAGGAGCTGCACCCACTGTGCAGCATGGAAAAGCTAAACGACCCCTCTCTCAATTTGGGACTTTCACATATACCTGGAACAAATGGAGTGCAAAGGCAGGGCAGAGAGCAGCCAGCTCTGGAGCAGGACTGCCCAGGTGCTGTACCCTGAGATGGATTCCACAGTTCCCCAGCCCAGCAGCTTGGGACTCAGAGCCTGCTAACACTACAAGCACATGTTAGCTCTGAATTACTGAGTCCCACACTGGATTCGTAAAAAACTGCCAACACTGCTTCCGTGACCCAGATATTTTGCATGATATACATAGTTTTAGTAGTAGTAGTAGTAGTAGTACTAGTGTTTTAAAGGTTTTTCTGTACTGTTTTAGCTCTGACAGACTCGCCTGGTGCAACCTCCCACCGACTTCAGTGGCTCCTCTGGCACATCCCCGACAGACGTGGTTTTATCTGAGTCTATTTCACAGTTTCTGGAACTGTTTTAGCAGAACCACCTAACTGTGACATTCCATCTGAATTTAACACACCCAAGTGCACTCAGTTCATGAAAACGGGATAAATAATGAAAAAGAGGCCACATGTTGCACACTACGTGCCCCAGGCACGTGCAGGAATCAGGTACTGCTCCAAGATTTCTGTCCCTAATCAAACCACAAACAAGTTCCCACCAGCAGTGCACTGGCACTGATACACAAATCCCCCAGCCCAATCCTCTCTTACTTTAGATTACAGTAATGCTATTTTCAAGTCAGAAAGTTATACTGCAAATTCCATAAACCCTCTTTTCTTTAAGGAGCAGACGGTTACGGATTAGCCACTAGTGCTGCAATTTTAAAAATCTTTAAAATCAAGAAATATGCCTGTTGATTTCTCTTTTTAATGACCTGGGGCATATATCAGTCTCCTTTACAAACTTTGGGACTTGAGGGACACGCAGAATTCACAGTCTGACAGCCTTAGCTGGACGTGTATTTATGAACGAGAGCAGGGACAGGCCAGTGCCTGTCTCGGACAAGGACGTGGCACATGAGCTGTTATTCTGCTCTTGCAACTTCAAGCCAGGGACACAAAACAGGGATGGATTACTCTGCCTTTAACCCATTTTCCATCAAATTTGTGTATTACAAAGCATTCACATACCCATCCCCACCACCGAACTTGCAAATACTGTTTCTGGTAATAAAAATGTATCCACACTGTAATTCCTTTATCATAACATCCACATAATGTATTGCAGAAATGGGAAGTTTTCTATTACCCTGGCATAGGGGGATTTCAACTGTTTAAGAAGTGAAATTTCCCAAGCAAGTCTAAAAAGAAGTTGTTTATCTTTAAAAATAACAGCAATCTAGTGATGCAAGTTAAAATTCTGAGAAGTAACAAACTGAACAGAAAAAACGAGCTCTTTTATTAAAATCAGTCTTACATGCTTGTTCTAATTAATAGTAATTTTAAATATGTTGTTTCTATACAAAGACATTTGTATAGAAATGCACTATGCACTCTTCCAAAAACTACAAGCTATTTATTAATCAGACTCTTGCACATTTTGTTTGATTAACTGCAAATGTACACAAGCCAAACGAGGCAGGAGAGCAGCGAGATGACCCACAGCAGTGGGGTCAGACCAGGATCAGGCCCCCCAACACCACCATCCCCCCGGGGCAGCACAGACTTGTAAAACCTTCCCTACTCCCTCCTGTGCAGGGGTGTGACCCTCACCCTCATCTCCGGCCTGTTTCAGTGGGAGCGGGTGTGGGGTGTTCTCCTCAAGAACAGCCATGTGGCAAACCCCAGGGTGAATCCCACAGGAGAGATTCAGAGCTGGGAGGTGCCTATAACAGTAGCAAAGAGGAAACACTCCCATAGTGACAGCTGATTTCTAACTGTACATGTGTGTATGCATTTATATAAAACGTGATTATTGGCATCATCCATGATAACCTCCACCACAGAAAAAAAAATCCATGTCCATGACTCAGCAAGGGAAGCAACTGCTTCCTTCTGCCAGCAAATTCCGCTGTGCCAATGAAGTGAAGGAGAAGTGACCCAGAGGAGCTCTCACTGGTGAGAGGTGCAGCAGACAACCCCCAGCTTCTTGCAGACCCAATGCTTAAACACCTCCTGTACCAGAAGGGAAAACACACTTCACGAATATCACAATGCACCTTATTACTACTCAGGTACCCACCTTTTACAATCAGATAAATGGGGTTTCACTTCCCTTCCTAATGCAGCTGCCACATGGCCTTGGTTGCAAAAGGTGGCTTTTCCTTCCCCAGAAATGGCTGGATAGAGCAGTGGGGAAAAGAAGTCCTGAGAGACCATTGCAGCGAGCTGCTGATGGAGCAGGGCATACACAGGGCAATACTGACACTATCATTCATTCATTACTAGGAGCACTTGCTCCAGCCAACAAGCTCATGCACTTGGCCTCACCAACCCATCCCTGTCTGGGCCCCCTCTCCCAAATTCACCCCCGACACCAAACTCCAGATTTCAGAGTTCTTGCCCAGTAACATGCCAATTGGTTTGTTAGGAGGATAATTTCAAGTCAGGAGTCTGGATGCAGCCACCACATCCCTCCACACATCCAATTACTTGGCAAGATTAAATCTGAACCTAATTACCAGGAACAGAACAGGCCATTCATGTCACCTGCTCTGAGCTGGTGTGTCATCCCACTCCTGGTGACAGGGCCCTGCTGGCCCCGTGCTGTCACACAGGGAGTGACACACAGGGGCTGATGGGGAGTCCTCGGCACAGTTCCGTGGGGGCACCTTCCTACTCACTGTCTGCTGCGTAACAGGCACTGTCCAGCCAGGCCCAGCATTTTTTTGGGAATTACCTGGAGTGCTTCACCTTGCATCTGACTTGAGGGCAACCAAAAAGGGACGTGAGTGCAGCTGAGGAGGAACTTGCTACACCAAGTTCCGCTCTCAGCAGCTGTTAGAGCTCATCGTCCGATGGCCTGGGCACCTCAGCTCAGCCATGGTGAGCTCTGGCAACTCAGGGACAATCACTTGCTTCACTCCAAGGACCAGAAAATTTTGTGGGAATGGGGAAAGCGGGGTCACTGACACAGTCTGGACTGAAGGAATGCTGCAGCAAGTGGCAAACCAGCACCCTGGCTCTGCAGCAAGACCAGGCAGCACCCACATCTCCAAGGCCACCCCAGGGTCCCACAGTGGCAGCACTGCCGTGCTGGGGACACCCAGAGCAGGGAGGCACTGCCAGCTCAGTGAGAGGACAGCACTGCCCAACTTGGTCACTGACAACATGAACCACAAAGCAAGGACAGTGCTGGAACCCACTGCAGTCTGCTGAGGGACAGGAGACACAGAGACCACGTTCACAGCTGGCTGTTCCTCCCTGAATCTCAGATCCCAGATTTTCTATTTTTTTATACATTTTGACCTTACATTTAATTTATGTTTATCAATCATATCCTTCCAGGATAAAAACTTGCACAACTTTTCAGAAAATACAACAAATCTATATAATTTCTTTTCATTAGTTACATAAGAATCTAAATCCCAGAGAGTTTTTAACTCCCTCTGCTCTGCCACCATCTGAGATCACTGTCGTGCAGTAGTACAAAAGCAAAATGATTCTTCCATACACAGTAAAACTAATCCAGTTTAGGAGACTGCTTTCTTTGACTTAACAGATATCCCTACACAGACAGTGCTCAGCAGCACAGAAGCACTTATTGATGTGATTAATTCTGCATCGTGACAAATCTCACCCAAGCTAAATAAATACATGTGCCTTCAGATACCAAGGAAAAGCTCCAAATTAGTCACTGGTATTAAAGAGAAGTAATAAAAATAATAAAAACTGCATGACTATGTTTTATTTTAGGAAAGAAGTGGAAAATGTCTTTGAGACAATTTTTAATCAGTATTTTGCTTTAGTATATTGTTGTTTGTTCATCTTGAATCATGATATTTATATAGCTAACAATAACCACGAGAAACAACCCACTAATGGCCCCTGTTTGGAACAGGTTTTGCTGCACAAGCTCTCAGCCAGGAGAGCTGCCACGACACACGGGGGTGGGTTAGGAAGGGACTTCTGAGCTGGACTGGTCGTGTCAGAGACAGCAGTGGGGCCCTGAACACTGTGCCATGGAATTTCTCACATGGAAGACTCCTCTCTATCCTCTACTTGAGTTCTCCTCAGGGTGTCCCCTTTTCCTCTAACATACCTACACAAGCTACCCAAATTGAATACACAGTGAAGGAGTTTTGGGGAAAGCTCAAAAGATTACAGTTTTCCTTGTATTTTCTCTCTTCCCCCTAAAAGCCATTGAAAACCACCAATTATGAAAGTTTAAATCTCTACTCTTACACAAAAAAACATGGAATATTTGGAAAATAGCTTCTGAAAAGGGTTAGGAAAAAGCACTTTTTAAAAAACAGTTATTAAAGACAAAATGCTTAGAAGTTGTAGAAAACAAAACAAACAAACCCAAAGCATTACTTTTGTCAGTCATGCAGAAAAACAAGCGAAAGAAGTTCAAATTCTTGTATTTCAGTTCCACCATTAGCTGTATTTAATTAGAAGAATCGAACAGAGAGCTGCGTCTACTTTTCACAACAAAAATCACATCATTAAAGATTTATTTATGGAATATATTTGCACATAAATACAGGAGCTCAATAAAATGCTGATAAGCAGCAAACAAGATATCTGCCCAGGGACTTCCTTCCCAGCAGCCTGCAAAGCTCCAGCACAGCAGCAAATGCTGGCATTCCCAGAAAAGTGTTTTTAACTGGTACACATCAAAAAGTTGAAAAACACATAATTACATTATCACGATCACAGACTCACTACCTTTGATTTTTCACTGCTTGAAAGAAGGCTCGAAGTCCACTGAAGTTGTGCCTATATATGGAGCACGAGAGCATTCCCGTATAAAATTATGGATAAAGAATAACGGACTTCACTGATACAAAGTCAAGAATGCTACCCAGGCACTAATAAACTCTCCCAAACACTGGAATAAACATTTTAGTTTGGGTTTTATTCCAAGATTCAGAGATTCACAGAAGAAAAAACAGAGAGTATACTTCTCCCAAGAAATCCCCGCTGTGTTTATCAGTACATGCAGCTGACGGGACCTTCCTCCCATGGAAGCCAGATGGCACAGGCAGCACCAAAATAGCCGGCAAGCAGCAGCCCTTGGGACTGGCGAGGAAGAGGAAGGGCGGGTGGCCCAGCACAGCCAGCACAGCCCAGCGGACTCGGCAGCAGCTGGAGCAGCGGCTCCCGGCGCCTGCGCACCCAGACACGCACTTTCTATGGCCAATCTAGGCCTGATGCCTGCTGCCTTCTGCCTTCAGCTTGGCAACCTGCTCGGAAAACCTGACACATGTGCCTGGAGCAGCTCCGGAGCCTGCACGCTCCTGCACGGTGCCCGGGGAGCGCCGGCTCTAAAGGCTCCCGACCTCGGGCACGTCTAGACCCAAATAACGCAGCAAACTCCACGTGCTCCTGCAGCACTTTACTTACATTCACAGGCAAAGCTTATCTCCATGAGTGTGGTGTCACTGCAGCACAGATAATGTCACTGCAATGCCACAGCTCCAGCGGCCTCAGAGCGCTCCCGTCCCCCACGGGGGGCTTCAGCCACCAACCCACAGTCCATCCCCACCCAGGGCAATGGGGGAGCCTGGGGTTACCCACAACCCAGAGAGGAGCACCGAGGGCCTTGCAGGACTGAGCTGGGCAGCTCTGATCTCTCTCCCTTTTTTAGAAGGAAAATATTCCCATTAACTGCTTTGGAAGCAGGATTGGGCCCAGAGCCCAAAAATGCCCTGGGTTCCCAAGTCCTTACTCACTGCTCGCAGTTGGACTCGCTCACACCAGAGCCAGCAGCACAGCAGGAATGTGTGGAGCTGCTGCGGGAGGATCTGGGAGCTCAGGGCCCAGCACTGCTCTCTGCTCCTCCAGCCTGTGCCTGAGCTCAGCCAGGGCTCCGTACGTGCCGCATTAAATACCAGCCATGTAGGGTACAAACGCTGCCTTCACTCCCTGGGCCGTCCGGAGGGGGAATGCAGATGCCATCAGCTGCCTCCCGTGCAGGCTCTGCAGACCTGAGCCCACAGCCGCCCCAGTCAGGACACGCTATTTATAATGCTTTCGACATTTCACTTTTCTCTGCAAATAATACCTGCTCCAAGCTCAAGTCGAAGGCATATTTTGCCTTGCCAGATGATCTGCGACCGTCTCATGACTTATTACATTGTTATCGCTGCTAAGCTGAGCAAACAGGGCTGCTAAGTCTATTAATCTTCTGGAACACGAAGGCTGAAACCGTAGAAACAAAACATCTCACTACAAGATACATAAAATGTGCTATAAGGAGATAAGGGGGGAATTCAGTGCACACTCTGGTAAGTTTTTTCTGTGCCACTGCAAGCGAGGCTGACGCACTTCTGCAAGAGCCGACTCTGGATGTAATGCTACCGACAAGTTACATAAGGGAAAAGAAATTCCTTTTCCAAGAGCAGCCTGCCCCGGGCGGCCAGCAAGATACGCCTGCCACAGGAGAACCTGGGCACTCTGCAGCCGGTGGAACTGCCACCTGCACGTTCACAGCAGGATGGTACGAGCAGTCTGACCCAGGCAGGGTAACTGTGCCGCTGGGCGAAACTCGCTGCCCAAAACGCCAAAGGGCTGGACACATTTTAACTCATCTAGTACTTATGGCTTTCTATCGTGCTGAAATTCACCCCACTCTGCCACCC